GATTCTTACTTTATGAAAATAGCAGGAAAAATTAAATATAAAGTAAGATTTCTCCAATGCCGTTATATCTGAATGAAAACATGTGTCCCTCAGTGATTAGGACCCGTTAGAAAATAAAAACTAAATTCCTAACACTGACACCCAGTTTAATTCAGTTTATTTATAAGCGCCAATTAACACGTGTCAGCACCCTGCATTCTCTCTACCTCCGCTGTTTGTTTCTCCTGAGGAAGAGTCCAGCTGATGTAGGGCAAGAAGTCTACATCCTCGTCTGCGATCAGCTTGGGGACGTCCGTGACGCCATCCTCTGCTTTCTCAGAATCCTAAAACAAGGAACGCAATAGAAGCCGGTTTGATTTTGGTAAAAAAAAACAGCAAACGTGTGATGAAAAAGCAAACTGACCCGCTCTTCAATGGCGACAAAGCTGGTGAACTGAGACAGAATGGAGAACTCTTTGCTTAGATCGATGATGAAGGACTTCAGCTCTGATTTTTTACCCTAAAAGCACAGAAGCAGCAGTGAACCAGTGAAGCTCAGCTGCTATCTGAGGACAGAGTTAATAAACAAACATGTTGTACCTCATGTTCAGCCTCGGTGGCGTCCAGGCTTCCGTCCTCATAGTCTCTGATCAGCGCTCTGGCAGTGAGCTTATGAAGAAACTGAACACATCAAATCAACAACTGAGCTTCTGGTTCTTTGATTGGGTGTTAATATGTTTATAGAGAGGGAGGAAAATGGGCCGTACGGTTCCTCTGGTCTTCTGCAGCTCTGTTGTTGAGACCATGGTTCTAAGCTCCTGACCACGTATATCTCCAAGTAGAGTCGCCTACATGAAAGAAAAAATATAAATGTTAAAACAGTAAGGAAATAAAACGGTTAAGAGTTCTCAATAACCCAACACAGCATCTGGGGTCTAAACTTTGACTAGGCCAGTGGTAAACCTTTATACTTCAGTATTTCAACCATTGTGATCTAGATTTGCTGTTCCGGGACGTTTTCCTGCTGATCTTCTAACTTCTAGATGCATCTCTTATCTGAAACACCTGAATCACGAGGCTGAATTTCTCCACAACAATGCCTGATCATGATGTTAGGCGTTTGGGAGGCAGATCTTTTAGTTCTCAGGCTCCTCTCCTGTGGAACCAACTACCAGTTTTAGTCCGTGAGGCAGACACCCTGTCTACTTTTAAGGCTA